TCACGCACTTTACGAAGATGATTTTCTAAGCGGTTGCAATTATGTCCCTTTTTGCTTATTCACATTGACGTGTAAGAAGATATTCTCTATAACAGTGGGGTAGTTTTTATTTCAATAATTTCATACGACTACAATACCAGATATTGAAATATTAGAATCGATTCTAATTTTTCTATTATAAACATTGAGAAGCAGATGTAGTTGAACCAGATGTTATGAAATTGACATTTACGCTATTTTCAATATATAAAAAAAACCGTAATAAACTTGATATTAAACTCGCGGGATTAACTGTACGTCATATTCTTTGGTGTTATATTGTACACGGGACGTTGCTCTGAAGCAAATCAATTTGATTGTAGAGCAATTAAACTTTTTGATTTCATCTTTGAATTGAGTTCATCGGTGATGACGGTTATGGAATGGTGGTTTATTACATAAGCGTGAATCGAAAGTATAAATGCAAATGTAAATGAATATATGTCAGTATTAATAAGAGTTTGATGAAAAATGGATATGGACGTCAACTCTTAGTCTTTTTAAAGAGGATATATCTTCCAGAGTAAATAATTTCACAAACGATATACAGAATTTATATATGTATAAATTAACTGGAAATTTTTTGCACTGGACAATGTATGTATAATATTTAAATGTTATTTTCTTTACTGTAAAATTTTATAATAATTAATAATTAATTCAATTTATATAGAATGAGAAGAGAGCAGTGTTCGAAAAGTGCATTTGTTTCGGGTCATTAAATTTTTGAAATATACAATAACACGCTAGGAAATAAATCTATTTACTTTCAATTATTAATACGATGTTATTGTATATTCCGTGAAAGCAATAAGTGCAAACGCAGACTTTTGTTATCGGACTTTTAGAAATAAATTGAATATGAAAAATATGGAGGTGAACAACATATGCCTCTATTGTCTGATTCAACCGTGAGAACTCAGACAAAAAGGATGCGTATCTTCTGTTTATAATGTGCCTGATTGCTGTGTGACGATTTGCGGTTTATGATCTCGCTACGTTGATGACAGTCAAAGGCCTTAATCGATGCTCTTCCGGGTTAATTTGAGACATGTCTCCAGTCACGAACTGACTACTGTGACTCCAAATACGTCTGTACTTTATGTGAATTGCTGAGTCGAATGTGAATTAATATAAATTCATTGGAACGATGTGTGACACAGTATGAATACATATCAATTATATTTGCAATATGACTATTCTGATATAAAAGATGGAGAGGTTTTTGTTACAGAATAAGTTGTAAAATATTCCGCGAAAATATGTAAATGTGTAAAATATTTTACTAATATAATTTTTCATCGGCGTTCTCGCAATTTTTCTACACGTGTGAAATGTTTCTTAGCTATTTGATTACGCGACGTACAACATTTGTCTGTCACTATTTACGTAACTATGCAATCTTCGTGAAATAGACCGCAAATGTCACAAGTAACTGTAACGCAGCCACTAAGATAAATCTAGCGCCTCCAGGGTGAATATTAACGATTCGTTGCGGCTGTTACAATAGAATAAAGTAAATTGTTACGTTATTGTAAGCGTGCACCGGCATCAAGGTTAATATCTGTCAAGTCTCTTATGCTCGTATTTATCTCTTATTCATTTTCATATCAGATCTTAATTATAGCAGTTGAGGCAGCGTCGAAGTGATTTACACTGATAACGCTAAGGTAAATAACTCACTTTACAACCGCAGAATCTTTGTTTGCAAACGGATCGAGGTGTATTTGAGGAAATTGAATATATCATTTGTTTTTACAAAGACACAAATTCTTGGATAAAATCGTGTTAACAGCACGAATTTATTTGAGTATTTTGAACTATTTCCTATTTGCATTTTTCTCGACGATGTATAACACTCCGTTGATCCTTAATGAAGTAATTACTTTCCACAGAATTGCATCAGGAACATGTCCTTTTCTGCGTGAAGATACTCTCGGATCTCTTACGCATTCTCTCGCATCCTTTTTCTCAAATAAGTGTCGGCGAATTCACGTTCCACATAGCGTACGCTGTGATAAATTTTCAATCATCAGCCTCCAATTAACAGAGTTCGATCTGTGATTGATGATATGTGTAACGCTTAAAAAGATCTGTGATTAATGATATCTGTGGCGTTTACAGAGGAGACTGATATCGCAGACAGTTTCTTGCGCCTCTCCCAAGAATCTCCTTTCCGGCTGGGAATGTGTAACAAGCTGGAATATCGAGATCGGTAATCGGTTGCAGCGATATTACCACCTCATATCCTGTCGGTGTCCCATACTGGGTCAGCCGGGCAAAGGGGTAAACAGGTTGTATCGCCCAGCAAGCGTGCGTTTCGCCCATTCGGCTTACCCGTCGCGCGACTTCCTCCTGCCTCGTAATCCGCGCTGGAGACATCGATGAACGACAGGCCTTTGCCGCGCGTCGTTTTTGCATTGCCCGGTAACCGCGAGTGAAAGCATACGTGCCTGACATACCCGAAGAATGGCACGTTTGTTGTCCGTTCATCGTCACTGCATCGTCCTGCCTGTGCATGTCGTGCGCGAAGAACGATCTTTCGGTGACGTCCCTCATACAGATGCGATAGATCAAATTTTCAGGCCAGTGGAGTAAGGCGACGTCTTCCAACTTTGCGCAACAGCAAAAATCTATCGCCCAGGTTTAGTGGGTTAACGAATCGTACTTCTTTTGTAACCCGAAAAATTAATTTCAGAAGCGATTCCAGCTTTAAGAGTTAGTTTCCGCGTTCACGTCGAAACGATCGCATAGAGACGTCTAGTAAATGTATATTTTATGAATGAAACAAGAGAATTACAAATATTACGCTTATAATTACAGATGCTTTCCTTGCACGCTCGATGCAAGGTTTCCAGTTTTCAACTTTGTAAAGTAAGTTTTATATGTGATAACACACATCTAAGTTGCAGAACTTACAAGATAAATGGTGATAGATTAATTGCCTGATAGGATCAGTAGGAAATGGTAGACAGCAAGTACATCGCCACAAGTAATATATATACAAATACCAATTATAAATGTCTATAACCTCAAGAATTATATTGTCTACAAAACTCATAAAATTAAAGCATAATACAAAGATTAGATTAAGAAATCGGCAGATGTGTTTAATTGTCTTTTTATTATTTACTCCTATTTGTTCGCTTGGTTACAATATCGCCCAGAGGACGTTTGCTTACAAGTGTTTTAAAATAAATGAAACCTGCTAAGAAGATTATATATCGATCAAGGAAGGAATACAGTTTTTAAAAATCGCACTGGATTTTTAAACAGTTCGGTGTCAGGCCAAGGTAAAAAGTAGACGAATGTGGTGCAAACCGGTTGCGGGAAAGAGGCTGCACCGCTAACACGTGTGTGCATAATATCCTGATTCCATCTGCAGGCTACAAAGGCGTTAATAGGTCAATCAATTGCTTTATATCCGCTTCTTGTTGCTGTCGCTTATGTCTTGCTGGCTGTTACATAACACTCAATTTACATTGTCGTCTATTTTTTTTATACTTATAAGATAGTGTCAGTTAACGGGCTGCAGAATTACAGTTCAATAATTTATTAACACATATAAAGTAAAACGTGAATAATAGAATTAAAGATCTGAAGTAAAAAAGAAGGACATAAATATATAGCAACGTTAATTAGTCTTACATAAAATATATACGGACCAGACCGGACAAGACCGAACGATCTTCCTTGGAATCAATGAATTTTAACTGTTGATATAATTAGCTTATCCGTATGTGGTGTGGTCTCTTTCTCTTCATTATTTTGTAATTACATCGACTTAAGATTTAAATTTGTGTGCGTTATTAGCTTATTATACTCTATAGCCCGTTAATCGTTTCTTTCTCACAAGTTTGATTCTTCGACCTGTTGATTCTAGTTTATTTTAATTTCTTTATACCTTTTCCCGTTTTTGAAATAACTTAGAATCGCGATTAGCGGAAGAAACGTCACTCTTGTTTTACATTTCTTAATATTTGACATTGAATTTCTTCGCAGCTGACGTTTAATTGAAATTATAAATTAAAATTAAATCGAAATTAATATCTTATTATCACAAATTACATTTCTTAATTTAAATTTGTGAGAAATTCGGAACGTCTTCAAGTATACATTTAGAACAGGAAGAATTACCGAGTTTCTGATATTTGTTTGCTAAGAAAAGAATTCACGAGATTCAATATTAAACGTCATACGAATTGTATGGAATTTAATTTTAGGTTCTCTTGGCAGAAGAATATTTTCTCTAAAAACAAATTAGTACGCCCAATTTTACTTAATTTCCGCTTTACAAAGAGATAATGTATGAATTATAACGTTACCTATGATTATCTGCGTTAAAAAACTGAGCGGCCGTTGCGGGTGGGTGCACTAGAAAATGTAGCGCTTCCACCGGCCGCGAGGAATGTTGCAATTACGTGAGGTAGAATGTCGCGGAGAAGACCCTACGTTGGATTTTAAAACGGCTAACGGAAGGATATTGTTATCACGGTCATGTGATAACAATGTCGCATATGCCGCCGTTCGCTCCCTTTCTGCAAATTCGACATAGAACTCTCCTTAATCAAATATAGAACGAAAATGTAGCATATAATGTTTAATATAGTGCGGTTCACCACTGTTTCTGCAACTAAGCCTGAAGCCTTCGTGAAATATCTTTCTGATTGTCTGGCAGCTGTTAGGCTGATAACTAACAAGTCGTGCAGCTGCAATATACCGTTAAAATTATATTCTTGTCTCATCAAAAATAAGAACATATTCTTTTCAAATCTCCTGCTCTTTTTGGTTCTAAAGAATCGACTTGATAAGATAATTAGACTCGATTTCTTAAGGCAGCTTGATTTTTGTATACGAATTACACTTGTTGACCTGTTCATTTTTCTGTGAAAAAGTGATTAGCGAAGAATATTAATGCATTTACCGCAAAGTATAATATACTCGACATGCTCAGATAATGCTTCTGGTCTTCTTCCGCGGTTTAGAGATGTCCCGTTTAATGTCACGAATTTTATGGTGCGATGAGTTTGTTTTATTATTATTACATGAAAATTTCCACGAATAGCCAGCGACCGTCAGCGAGTCCTCGAGTGTCGCCCGAGACGTCGTATCGTATAGAATGCAGGAGCAATCTCTGCACAGCATTATCTAAGCCATGGACCGTTACCCCCACCGACCTAAATGCACGCCGTATAAATGGTCAGAACAGCTTCTAACCACTGTCAGTGAGCGTGTGCTAATCTCGGCTTTCTGCAACGTGCATCATCCTGCATCATTCGGTGAAAAGAGTGCGCGGTATCATGCGATAATCCTCCGTATAACGTCACTTATGATTTCTTTTGAGTAATTACGAAATTCTCTCTCGATGCGGTGCATTTCGATGATTCGTGTAGTTGATGTAATCCTCACGATTGACAATGACTATACAAGAATTCGAAACGAGACAGGTGACCATCGCCACGGTCTGCAATGAAATATAAACCGGTTGATCGAAACTAACAAAATTCTAAATCAACAGTGCAAAGTTGAAATCAACCTAAATCATGAAGTGCGGATATTTCGGGGCCATCGAGTGGTTTTGCAATGTTGGATGTCCAAGGGTGGCCCATGTACCGTGTTGGATGTTTATCTTGTTAATTATATGTTCTCGACGGACTCACTCGTTGACTTTTGATAATACGACGGATCTTTTTGTCCAAAAATGTCAAGGAGAATGCCACTTAAAGAAAGATTTTGCAACTTGTGGCAAATATAAAGTCGTCAAGTGGCTAAACACAGTAGTGAGAGAAAAGGTATGCGTTTGCTGTTTACGGTCTTACGTAACATTTGGTTATTAAAAAACGAAAATAAGAATTGACAACTTATATTGCATGTTGTTAACCATAATGAGTAGTGTGATTAAGTTTACTAATTTATGACTTTTTATTTTTATGGTAAATTATTGCAATATTAATTTTTATATATTACCTTTATAAATTTATATTTACTTAGTACTACCAATAGAATAACAATAGAATAACAGATCTAAAGAATTAATTAGACATGAATAACTACAAAATTGATAGCATGTACTATACAATAACAAACTGTAAACATTTATCTGTCTGATCTATAATTTTAAAGAGCGAATTGTACGTAGTGATTAATTTAATTAAAGAGTAAATTATTATAATTTAGGAATTTAGTTATGGGCCATTTCGAATAATAAGGATACCATCGATTTACAAGCAATCCTTTTTGCCCTATTTGCCACGTTCTCGAGCATTTAAGAGCGGCATAACCGAAGCTCTAAACTTCGTTAGAGATAGCATAGAGGATTTATTGACAAATCGTGCCATTGTATATACGGTAGACAACTCGGCAGTTGCCAGAGATTTTTCCTCGAGTCTGATGTTTGTGGATGACGATGAACTTGAGCAGCTGAAGGATAACAAAGAGCAGGAAGGTAAAATTTTATATTAGATCTAACAAATGATAGCATATTTGACAATGTATTCTCTCGCGACGTTTTTCTTACAATAGTTTTTCCTTATTACTTTTGTTAAATGCTTTTATTTTCGTTAATCTAATGGACATCGGTACTTTCTATTTTTCTCCTGAAATTCTTGACAAATCCTTTGACTTCTTATGATGGTATATTGATTTCTTAGCAATAATAAAGGAAAGGTGTATTTACTGTTCTGTATAACGGACTGTTCGAATTCTGATGTGTCTGAGCGTAATCGTAGCTTTTGTTGCACTTTATTTCGGGTAACGGCGAACGTTACACGTAACAAGTATTATCACTGCATAAGCTATGCAATCTGCTGCAATGTTCCATATATTTGAAAAAAGCGATGAACGCGACGGCGAAATGCCAGAGTTTACTACCTTATATTTCCTGTAACGGCAATGATGTCAACATGTAACGCACAATCCGTAATAAAGTTTGGCGATTTTTTCGAGAAAGAGAAAATTAATAAACTGTTCGCTTTACAGGCAATTGGCGAATTTTCAAAAAGAAGAAGTCTATAATCCTCCCGGTTCTTATATTATTAAATTTACTAAAGCTGAAGCTACTGCTATTACCAATTTTCCTAGGAGTTCATTTTATCAAGAAGCTTCTCGTACTTGGCTCATTAATTTTACCATCGGTATTCGCGCATTTGAAGATTTGCAAAGTGCCACACTCTCATTCGCATCAGTCGCAACCTTTCCAACTGTGGTCCACTGCAGCGGACACAACAGTAGATTATCCAACAGGTAAGATTGTCTAAGAAATATTCTTTTTGTCTTTGACGATTAAAAATATCACGTAAGCAAGTTATATGCCAAATTATATATATATATTTTTTTTACCGAAGATAACACACAGGTGTACATATTTATTATCTTTGATAAAATCTTAAAGAGATTCAACAATGCTAAGACTAACGAGGGGCTCTTAAATTGTAATTTTAATATTCATTACGCTCATGCCTACAAATAGGAGATTAGAAATTTGTTTTACAACACAAATTTCCATGCATTGAATTTTATGTTGAATCATATACGCTAATGTATGAAATAAATTCTCTTCTAAATGCTCTTTAAACAAAAGTCACTGGCACGACGCGGTGGTTTGCATAATTATATATTATGTAGGCTAAGTTAAGATAACGTCGCTCAGCTGTAACAGATGATACATCTTTACAGACTAATACACATGACGTATTTATGTTGGCGTAAATATATTTAATGTTAGCCAACAGCGACAAGTATTAGATTTGAAACAGCTGTCAATGCACGCTCCGATAGTGTTTTATGTTTGACATATTTATATTCAGCCTTCCCTTTAAAATCTTTAACGTCATGTCACGCATCGCGAATATTTGATGTCAACAATTCTGAATCTTTCCCGGCACAAAATTTGCATCTAAATAAAGATCTCTATGCCTATTTGCTAAGAGCATCGTATAAACTTGTAACACGCATTTCGATATTTTCTTTGCAGGATACGGACAGGATGACAGTAATTGGCACAGAAACGATTACCAGTTAGGGTATCCGAGTTATCAGATACTTCGCAATCCCTACGGGTGAAAATGTTGCAGATTGCTCTCACGGCCATCAACGACAATTTCATATTTGTTATCTTCCGAAGGCGAGCTGTAAATATGAGTCAATTATATTGAGAGGCACGCGAAATAACACTTTGACGAGTAGTGCAATCGTGATTAATCTAATTGTGATCCGCGTAATTTCAGTAATCGTGTAATTCCCTGTAAAATTGCCCGTGGCAATTACGATGTATCGATACGCGCTGAATGAACGTCGCCAAACACTATCTCTCGGCTACGCTCGTTCTAGCAAGGAACATTCACGAAATAACTTTCACGTAGCTTACCGTTATTTGCGGAACGTGTCGATATATTTTAACCTTAGCAGCTTGCGGACTTTGAGAAAAGGGTACGGTGTTAAGGATACATCCGGCTTTTCCTTAAAATTCGCATTGAACAAACAGGAATGCATGAAATACCTGTCCCCTTAAAATTTTTTTAGAATATCAATTTGTACAACTTTCTATCTTCCATCTTTCCTGCTTTAGATTATTTATTGCCACTTTTACATTAAGATGATGTCGCAGGCATGTTCGTCGCTCGTCGACTCTGATTTATTTCAAACTCGACGACATTAATGACGGACATTATGATTTCTGTTAAAGACTGGAATTTTTTCTAGAGAATTATTTGTACAACTTAAAAAATGCATGAAAATGCAGTTAGACTATTTTATTATCAGCACTATCGAATTAGAAGTATTTATGCTAAAGTAATCAAATTATAGCGGCATGTGAAATAGAGCTAGTCCCAGGTAATTCAAGCCTAGTAATCTTCGCTTGTTTTCTAAATGCGACACGCGATTACATCGATGTAGTGCAAAGTGATTGATTTTAGATAGCAAGACGGCGCGCTGGTGCTGCGTTTATCGCAGACTACCTTTCTCAAATTTCAAAGTGAAATTCGGAAAGAACCATACCGGGGCAGGGGAATCATTCGTGGTCAAGGTCACTCGACCGAGCACGATGGCCCCTCTACTGACCTACTGACAGATTTGGACAAGCGCCCGGTTTCTGGCTCACAAACGCCTTCGCAAGCCAACTCGTGTGTCGCTGTTATGCGTCAGTGCGTCTACCTTGACCGACGTGTCCGTGTGTATATGTGTATACACACGTGTGACCCACGTACGAGCCGATCGAAGACCGTTATCGGCTCGCGGACAGTGCACGGCGAGAGGCCAGTCATCGTGCTTGTCGTCGACACATATTTGGCCCCGGATGACGATTACAACTGGTGAATTTTGCTCTCACCCTTTCCTTTCTTCGATACGCTTTTCCCGACCCGCAACGTGCTCATCGATAGAATTAATCCCAGTTTCCCGGCGTGCGTTTTCCATCCTAGATTTCCCTAACGCGCGCCTCTCAATCCCGCCACTCTGACTCTCAGACCGAGCTTCTTACTTCATAAAGAATTAATTTTCCACATTGTTGCGATTTTTAATATTGTCTGCTACAGGACTAGATATATTGTCCGTCGTAAGAGAATTATTATAGAATAAAAAAAACACACGAGACGTGTGCGAGGGTCGTCCAGCGCTCTGATGGCGAGCGATAAAGTGACAACAGTACTTTGGGCGCCTGCGACACAATAGGAAACGCGAATCGGAAGCGATACATCGCGCATCGCCACAGGATAGGCGATCGATACGCGGCGTGCACTCGTCCGCGGCAACTCGACCGTTACGTTCTTACGTTATACGTGAACGAAAAAGTCGCATTAATGTAACGGACCATCGTCCATGTCACGGCGTTCGACTTGCGTATCTGTATCTACGTCGAACGTATTTCCTGTACATTGTACGATTTATACATGCTTGATTCGTGCGCGCGTATCACGTAGATGATTCTGAGTGGTGTGCGTTAAACGCCGGAGATGCCTCTCGGGACGTCACATGTGGAGTTCACGGAAAGCGGAAAGCACAGCCACGCGAACAATTGAAGGTCCAACTTGAGCAACGGTCCCTCCTTTATTTAAAATAAAAATTGTCGCGGAAGTCAATCAAGTTTACGTATGACAAACGACTGGCAACCTCTGAGAAAAAATATTTAGATAGAACTTTAATTTTATGGATAAGAAACACTGTCTTTTAACACTTCTTGCGGCTCTCATGTTACACGGATGAACAATTTTTCAAGATAAGAGTAAACGGCGAAAACATTCTGTTTGATGTCTACAGTCGAGATTTTAATTCTTTGAAATTTCTCGCCATTTATTGGAAGCGAGTTGCGTGTGTGTGTGTGTGTGCGCGCGCGTATGACTACATAGTTATAAGGAAAATAAAATTGTAGAATATTTAAATAGTTAATGTATCCCCTTACCTTTCCTTAGTTGAAATGCAATATTCGAGAGACTTTTTCACACTTTGTTTCGTCAAGCAATCGATAACAGATATTGTAATATCACATTACATTTGTTACATACTTGACACGTTAATATAAAAATATTTGTAAGAATGTAACTTTCTTGTAAATTATTTTCATGCGCTCGAAGATGAATTATTTTCACAACTTTGTGATTAATTTCCATGCTTAAGCCGGAGTACTGATACTTGGAGGGAATACCGGCAAAGGATTTCTCGTTTAGTAGCTCTACGAAAGGTTGAAATATAAAAATACGGGGAACGTTATACGGCGTTTTCGAGAAACGATTCCACACGTGTGTCACCGGTTTGAACGTGAAACTTAAACCAAAAGAAGTGACACACTGGTGTGACCCTCTTTTTATAAAGGAAATTGGATCAGAATTTTTTTAATGCAGAGTTGAATTATCAATACTGCAAAATGTCGGTAAAAGAGCACACGTCGCCATGAAAGCGTATCATAAATTTCTGAAGACAAGGACAAAACTAAGCTCCTGAAAGATCAATTACTTCTTTGCAATTTAAAATATTCATATACAAGTTGCATTTGAATTTTAAAGAACGGTTTGCTGCCGGTGTTGTCTCACATATCTACCAATTCTTACGGAGACAATTGAAATGCTGTCTTATTTCATATACCGTTTTCCACGCGGACTCCTCGCGATTTACGATGCAAACTTTGTCGGCTATAAAGCCTTGAAAATTTTGTTTTTGTTTGGCAACATCGATAACATTTTACAACATTCTCGTAAAAATTCTTTTGGCGTTATGTTATAACGGGTTTCTCTCGAATGTCAATGTTGTCCGTTAGTAAATAGCACTTCGAAACACGGGGCACGCATACCGTGGATGCCAAATGCAAATGGTAATCATTTTGTAGTAATCGAGTCATCCGTCAGCTCTATCAAAGACGAAAGAAAGGCTGGCCGACATGTTGACGAAACTTAAAATCAGGTAAACCAGTTTTTCGGAGGTCACAGACATTATTCGGGATCGGCGGAGGCTCCCGAGAAAACACAAGAGAAATCGCTCGTAAAGGTGTGCAACCGCGACTGAACTCGTGACTAATTCGATTGGACTTGAACGAGTTATCAACTATCCTGGTTGACCGAAGGTAGTTTCCATATGAAAAGTAGATCACGCAAAAAAAGACTTGGAAAAAATCGTTGCTTCTTACATTCGACGATTACGTGGACATGAGCGGTCTTACTTAATTAAGCAGCTTAATTTTTCTTGTCGCCGCGAACGGGTGCACCGCACTTCTTCCAAGAGATTTAGAATGTTGACAGATTCATTTTCAACAATTTCCAATTAACTAGCAAGTTTTGATTTTTCATTGTATTGTGCTTTATCTCGCATTTCTTTTAAATAAAACAAAGGAATAATTCCAGAGCCAGAGATTCTAAAAAAAAAGTAGACTAAATCAACTGAAAATTCTCAGAGATTGACTTAGATTTACCTTAATCATCCCCTCACATATAATTTACCTCTCTTGTTTCCTTCTCCTTCCTCTTTCCTTTCTCTTCGATTAAATTAGCATTAAGATCTATTCATCGACGATCTCTTGGAGAATCATCTCCTGTATCATCGGGCGGCGTCCGGTCAGGCTCGTTGACCTCATAGATCTGGACATTCGCCGAAATACCGCCAGGTGAAATCGTCCGTGTGGTGTGTGCGTCGGTAGTTATAGACCTATGACAAATTCAATTGATTCGAATGGGGAAATTTCCCCCTCGACTAATAGTCATATTTGCGATTCTTCCTTGGAAGAAGGGTAGATCCTAAACCAAATGGCGGGAACGAACGGACGAATGAACGAACGTGGTGAGCGAGGAAGGCGGAAAGGAATGGATAGAGGGACGGACAGACGGATGGCCGGGTAACCCAGATCGGGTCAGTCGAGCCGATCCTACGGAGACCGGCTGCCAGTATAGTATTGGACGTCGTACACGATTCCAACTTTCTGGCCGCTTGGTCATTCAGGCGCGTACCGTCCCCCGGTCGTTTTTCAATATTAAAAGGAGTCATTCGGTCGCTGAAATTGACGCCGATCTCTTGGCCTAGGTGCGGGCAGGTTGTTGATGTCAGAGATATACCGTGAAAGTGAGTATAATAGATCCATATGCGACAACAAGTACCGACGAATAGTTTTCTATAGATCGTTGTGCGTTTGACCGGCGAATTAAATTATCTCCGCGCGTTGCAACAAATGCATAGACGAAGCATTGTTAATGGGATTGTACTAGGATAGATTGGTGAAAGGACACTTGTATAACCGTACACTTTGTACACTGGTTATTAATTCTAACTGCACACGTGCGTATTGGATCTAGAGATTAAATTTATGACTTAGATTAATGTATGCATATACATATACGCTGAAAAAAAATCCGGTGGATTCAACCAGTCGTCTGTTAGAAAATGGACGAATCAGAATTCCTTTAGGATTTACCAGATGTGTAGTGAAGTCTAGCAAACTTCTGGTTATGAAATATTGAGCCCTATATCGTGCTAACTGGAAATTCTCTTTGGTTTAGCCAAAATACATTCTATCATACATGTCTCGTTGATACAATCGAAGCATTTTTCTCAGTGTACTCTTTGAGTTTTTATATTTTATTGTATTATGTACATATATGCACACATGCAGCTTGTTGAAAATTCATAAGATGAAATGCTAGGAAGATTAAACGAGAGGCAGATTTCTTTTAATTGACTTAATATTTTTCTGTATTTATTTTTATAAATAAACAATTTAATTAATTGATGAGGAAATATTGAAGAATTTAATTATTATAACGATGTACAGTATTTAAGATTAATAAGAAATAAATTACTGATTATTAATTGCTGACTTGGAAGAAAAGTATAATTACAATATAAGTTTTTAAAATGAAAAAATAACAAGTGTCAACAAGATTAGAAATAGAATTTGTTTAGTTAATCTGCCACAAATATTTAGTAGGGTCTTTGCGCACAGTTCACATGGATGAAAGAATCAGCTGACTTCTTGGAAGAGGAAGGACATGCAAGACTGATCTAGCATAACCGAGTTTTACCACGTAGAATACCATGCTATTATTACTTAGCTTACTTAATAATTTCAATAATAATATTTCTTGTATAGTACTGTGCTTCTTTATTAATTGAAAAATCAATAAAGTTCTAATAACTTAAATCTAAACATATACATATAGAGAGAATTCTTTTTAAATAATATTATAAAAAGTCTAGATTGTTTTTCTAGAAGAGGAGCAACACAAAATTATTATATATATATAATATGTTTATACATATAAATTTAGTTTTCAGTAATTATGTCTTGTACTTGTCTGCTTCGGTCAATTACGTATACAGCATTACATTTTTCTGCTTGCACCGTAACAATGATTTTACGCATTTGATGTTAAAGCTCCTAATCCCTATGTGTTTTGATTTATCTGTCTTATTTCAGAAAACGGAGCCGCGGGTCGAGATGCAGTTCTCCTTTCGTAATAACCACAGCTAGCCAATAGACAAGCGCCCGGTGCCTTTTTCGCGAGTCGGACAATGGCAAAAGGGAGAGCAGCCGCGATATTCTCGATTGTGCTCCTAGCTATTGCGTGCCTTCATTCTGTCGTGGGGGTCAAGGTCCACGCAGAGGTTGCGTCCTTGAACGAGACCGCGCGCCACGATTATGACATCGAGAAGAACGAGGTGCCACTTTCTCATGAATCTGAAAACAAAACCGATCAATTCCCGCGTGAGCATCCGCACAAAATGCATGGAAAGCCAACCAAGTTCGATCTCGAGCTTCACGTGGACGATAAAGCGGATTATCAGATCGAACCGACGAGGATGGCCAATGTTACGGCTAATCCAATCGAAGTGAACTCAACGGCCAGTCAGTCTCTGTCAAATTCCATAAACTGCCGAGGGAAGTTCACGGTCTCTTGTATGCGTAAGGACTTGCTGAATTTTTTAGATCAACTCTCAAAGGTTGACACGTACAACGTAACAAAATCCGTGCAACTCATAAGAAAACCTGAAGCACAAAGCGTCGCGTGCAACGATCAAAAAGAAGATACCAAGTCGAATGTGGATCTTCTGGACAAGGTTCATCGTTACGCCAGGACACACGTGATGAAGATACAGCTGAATAAGGATCTGAATCTCGCCAGGAGAGCCAGGACGTTCTTCGGTTGTGAGTTTCTAGACCGCTTGCTACAGATTTTTCTCGCGTGTGTACTAGTGCCGTTACTTTTGTCGACACGAAAGGTGGATTTTCTGAAACTGCGATATAATCATACACATCGATCCGCATAGCGTGATGCTTGCCGTAAAGCAATTGCATAATTGTTAATTGGTGCGGAGTGAGAGTAATCGAGCAGTTAATTAAGATTTTCTAGAAAGGAAAAGAATATTACGTAATCTTTTCTCTTTCCACCTTTCAATTTGATTTTCAAGATAATTTTATCATCTCTTTACAAAATGTAGTCTCCTCGAATATTTTTTCCTACAAATTTCTGATACTTACAAGGACAAACTATTCAATTAATTTGTTTACCTGATAAGTGACGAATCTAGTACGCTCGTAATCACGAATTGGCATAAATAAAATTAGGGTGTGAGAGAAAGCTTTAACTACATGAATTGGCTTTTTGGAGTGAAATCAAGTAACGAGGTTGGGTCCATGCTAATTGGCAAAAATGCAAACTAAACCAGCAATAAAACGGGTATGAGGAAAAACGAGGCGTATAACATTGTGCAAACAGTCAAATTAATTATAATTGCGGTGAATATTTTTTATTTCTACATAGAGTGTTTCAGCAAAACGTGCGGCACGTGGAGTTGGAGAGATAGAATATGAAAAAGATGCTGCTTGCAGCATGGCTTTCAGGGCTAACGGCAGGGCTTTAACGAGCTGGTACTTTTGCTTTCAGCCGTCTTTCAGGGAAAGAGTACCTTTTTAACAGGATTCGGACTTGGTTTTCTAGCATTTGGCCTGAAGAAACTGTTGCTACCCTTGTTCTTCGGCGTGCAAATAATTAAGAGCGTATTACTCGCTCTTTTCTTACCGAGTATCATCGGCAGCATTGGTAATATCGTTGGAAAAGGTATGTGTTTTGCGTTTAGTAAATCTTATTAGAAAGTAGAAATATATTTCGAAACAATTTTTTTCTAATCACGATCATATTTTACTTCTTTCTCACAAGAGTATGCTATAAATGCTTGTAGTACACGGTAAGTATCTTACTTAAATGATATATCAATTTTTATGTACGGCAATATTTTATAACGTTGAAAAATTAACGAGTTTTGGCCATTTCAGTAGCTTCAGAGATCAAATTTTGATGTAACCTTTTCAGTTGATTTTTAATAGATTTTGTCTGTGTCTCTTAAAATTTGCAAAATTGAACAAGTTGAATGCTAAAAATGGAAGTACAGCGTAAAATGAGAAATCTTTGTCGAGACAATGATTTCTCCGTCCCTTGCGGAGTTCACGCTGTAGCATTAATGTCACTTAAGAAAGCGTCCTGAACTAAAAGTGTAAATACAACGTTACGTATAAATTACAGGTGTTACCTCCTTCACGCAGTCCTCGCATCTTCCCGTCGCGCCCGTCGCAGCATCGGAAGAAAATTTCGAGTTCAAGGATAATTCGGATCTTTACAATGACGACTATCTGACGCGACAACCGGTGGGCACGTTACCAGCGTCCGCCATGTACGACGAGAGTATGATGCAGACGCAGAAGACTCCGGATATTGGGTCCCGCTATGGATTCGTCGATTCGAGAATATCTCACGCGAATGCGCTTTCGGATCGTTACTACACGCGACACGTGGCTGCACACGGACTTTCTAAGAAACAGGACTTTAAGGTGAGCTTTTCGAATGTGCAATTGCTGATCTCGTTTATTTTCTCGTCACATAATAAACGCGTGGCTTTCAAGTCGCTGCACCACTTTCTTCTTTTTTCAACTCGGATAGCATGCAATATGTTAGCGAGCAAGTTGATAAATGAAGCTACAAATCACCATGGCTCTTCTTATTAATATTTAATTGAATTCTTGATTGCGCAATAGTAATAATTCTTACCGAATAATTCCAACTGGTAGGAAGTGCACGTTGATTTGTGCGTGTCGTTGTCGCATTTAACAGTCGCGCACAGTTCGAAGGAACTGTTCGTTAATGTTTGGTCCAATAATGAACTGGGTAAGTATGCCATTAGAATATTCGTCTTTTTCCCCTACTCTGTTACTTTTTAACACCATCGACGACCGGAGATGCTGCCCGTGCTTTCCACTTTTGATACTATTCGACTATTGACATCGGTCATTGAGATTCACGCGACCCACTTCCTTGTTTGCTTCGTTTTAACTCGTTCGGCGCCTAGCCGCGCGCGTAACGGATACAGTGACCATTAAGTATACGTAGCTGTAAACACATATATTTATTATTGGCGGCAGGTCTTCCACGAGATCCCGACGAGCTCTTTGCTTTTGACGAACTACGACCCGTTCTACTCGCCCCTGCTGTCACGTCTGGACGCCGTTTTCTCCCGCCTCGGACACAACACGGAAGGCTGCAGGGAGTACGCGGTGTGCGCGATGTATCGGAGTCCCGCGCGTTACGCGCCGTACTCGAACTTGGTCTCCGCCCAGCTGTCTAGGGAGCTCAACGAGCTGAGAAAGCCCAGCAGCGACAATCCCGACGTTCTGCGTTTCTTCAGATACATGAAAGCGGCCAAGGACGGCCAGGACGGCGTCAAGTGCGAAGAGATCTATGCGAATTGTGCGAACGCTCGTGAAGACCCGTCCCTGAAGCAAAATCAGGCGATGCTCGCGACGTATCAAGATATTAATAAGCTCGTTCAGGCCAGGAAGCTTTGAGAACGTCATAACTTATTTTCGTTGCTGCTCTTAATTAATTGCAAACGCGATAGAAGAAAGGAAGACGCATCTCATGTCGCTTCGTCAAATGCGCGAGCTTTAGGATGGCCTATAGTTCTGATCGGACGCACTAGCGCAATCGCTAAAAAGGTTTAGCGTTTGCTCTAATGATTGAATATTCCTTCATAGATATTGCGCATAAGTAAAGTTTCTAGGTGTTCTTAGTGGTGGATTACTACGGTCGCACGAAGCGCTTGTTGACGCGCTCGAGGGGCCTCAAGATGCGCAATTTCGATTTTTCTTTCTCCAAAAAAATTTGATTAACTGTTAGAATAAAAGTAATGTTTAAAAGTACTCAATTTTTAATTTTGGGATAGCATCTTAGACAAGGGAATCCGAAATTGATTTGCACCTGAGGCTTCCGAGACGGTCTTAATCCGCCATTATTCGAATCTTCAATTTCTGTAACACAGGCTCTTGATGTACCAAACGCAGTTTCCTAAATTACCGTTTGTAGCAAGTGTTGGCTCGCTGTTGATACTACAGCAGCATGTGAACCTGTGAAACTCTATCCAATGGACATGCATGGTGAGAACAGGGGACATGTCGAGCGACATTTGATCATAATTGTGTAATATTAATGTTATTTTACAAGCACCTTGGAAAATAGAAACTGTGTTGACACAATCAAGAACATCTCGATTTACATAATATTTCGCTTTAGATTACGAGACGGGTACATATGTTTCGATCTACTTCTCACGTAGCAAAGCGAATTAAACATAGAAACGAGATCTGCTTATGATTTTAATATGAAAATGTTATTAGAGAAATTTGTTTTTTTCATAGGAGAATCTTAAGCAGCTTACGATCAATAAGTAAAGAATTGTTAAACAATACTTTCATCAGATTTAACTTGCTCAAGACTCTTGCAAATTTAATGAACAATTTTAACACATCGATATGCTTAAATAGACATTTGCACAAATTAATGATTGGCAAATAATTTATAACGGCATAAACAAACAATTATTTGATAAGTTGTATAAAATATGATGTACAATGTTAAAACTGTTACACACTTAATTTATGTTTATTTTTTGAATGCTATCTCATGTATAAGATTTAATCTTGACATGATCGATAGTGATTTTGGATATTTATTTATTTATGTGACGTGAGGCTGAAGATTCTAATTTATGCAATCCGAGCGAGAAACATGTCGCGCAGAGCGCATGTGTATTTAGATTAACTCTAATTTTATTAAAAAATTGCGATTATCCCATTTTAATTGCATGATATATTTATAAATTGATGTATAAATTGACGTATTATACATCAAAAAATTGCGATTATCCCATTTTAATTGCATGATATATTTATAAATTGATGTATTATACATCAATAAAAGATTTATGACGTCAGTTTACGCGGGTTTCTCCAAAGTAAGGCGGCGCAATGCGTCAGCATGCGACATAATCGTTTATGTAATCAAAAATCCTGTTTAAGACATAAAGCGATAAAAACAAAAAGAGGAGTTCCTTTTTATTAGAAGTAGTCGTATAGAACAACGTGACACATGAATCAAAATTTCTAAAAATTTCTAACTGATGAAATTGCATATATCAAAATCTGTGCGTTACGAAGAAAGCAATAAATGTTACAATCGTGTATAAGGGAAGTGATTCATGGTTCAAGAGCCACTATTACGGCGCGAGAAAAGAAATTTCTTTTACGAAAATAACGTGAGATAGAATCCACATAATACGGCGATGACGCACACTGGGTTGTATAAAATGCAGATGAAAGTACATTGACTTTGTCCCTCCCACAACGATGTACCTTCCGTCTCCGTCTCTTAAGCCTGTCCAGTTCCGGTTCTTATTCCGGATCGCCACTTTCACTCTCAATTTTTGTCAATCCTCCCCGTTCGCCATTCTGGGAACGACTTACGGATCCTATCCCCTCTCGGAACTCGAGAGTACACCCATATAAATACGAAGGTGCCTATGTTGAGGCGTCATATGACTTTTGGCTAATGCCTGTGTGTCCGCTACTCGTTCCCAAATTCTTACAAGTTGTTAGTCTATCAGCATTCTGAATTGTTCTTGAAGCATCCGGTGTATTAAGTTATAAGTTTCTTTATAACTTGTAGTTTCTAATTAATTAGGTAAGTTAAGAAAATTTAATTACTTTTAATTTTTGTCCCCTTTTAGCAATTTCTTTTACAATTTATTTTTATCGCATTTTGATAATTTATTTCATCGGATTTCGCTTTACTCGTGGGTCGATTATGACATTTTTCTGCTTATTTTGTTTTATTTAAAAAATTCACCAATATTGTTATAATTTCTAATTATGTCGTGGAGCAACAATTTATTTTGCAACTTAATTGAAAGAATTGTGATCAGAAAAATAACTCTAAGATATATATACATATATATATATCAATTACTATTATACTCAAGTGGAATGTACGCGTGATCACAAATTGGAATCAGAAAACCGCTTGCTTTCGTTCTTAACTTCTGATTGGTGCGCTCATCTAACGGCACTTGGTGAACCAGCGCGTCGACTGCCAACAGTCGATTTCGCAGATCTGCGAGTGCTGTTTGAGGATCACCACGAGTGCGGTTTTTGACAAGGATGTCGCGTAAGGAATATCGAATCACAATAATTTGACAGTTTGGTGAGATATTTGAACGTACTTAAGTTTTCCTATTTTCTGGAAAAATCAAAAACATAAACAATATGGTTGTCGCTACATCCCGTGTTCAATAGCAATGTAACTGTTTATTTTGGATGCGTGCATTTCAAATATTTCAACATTCATTTTGCTATGCAAGATAAAAAAGTGTTGCTAGAAACAAAATAATTTGACTTTGTAAAGATAAAATTCGCAGTTTACGGTCTACAATATTGCTTTAAAACGGCAGGCAAATGTTAATTACTCGTATCGATATGATGATTTTGTGTCTTCCAATATGTCTCGTTATAAAATGCTGACATCTGTGGATTGCAGGTAGTGCAAAAAGAAGAGCAGAATGCAATTGCAGCGGTTGCTGGTAATTCTAGAAATTTTGTTGGCATTGTCCTCGCTGGCATGTTGTCAGTCTACCGGGAAAATTACCTTTGAAGATACCGCTACCGAACACCGAGCAGATCATCAAGGTAAGATATTTTGTTTCTCAAAATTATTTGTATGAACAAATTTTTGCTAAGAATTTTTAACAGTTATATGTTTAATTTGTTGCATAATATATAAAGTGCGATGACGATTAGCCTAATTTTATATTTTCCTGTAAGTTCTTCTTTTATAATTTATTATCGTTTTATATTATGACTAAGATATTTATTCGTAGTTCCTCTTATAATTTATTACCGCTTTACATTTTTTTTATAGTTTTATATTTTACAATTTATTACCGTCTTATACTTGACTAAGATATTGATTTGTAGATGCTTCGTTGTCACAAGCAATAAGATCCACTTGATAAGGACCAGTATTACTGGCCGAAACGTGGTAAAATTTAAATAAAACTGCCAGTCTTGGTCGATCTAATCCTTGAGTATTTTTGGTTTTAATTACTGGCGATATAACAATTCCAAATATAAAGTTTTCATAAACGTCTAACTTTTTGACGTTACACAATTAATGCATAATTAACGTTACATAAAAAAGAAGCACTACATACTGACATGATATTCTTTTTCTTCTTCCTCGTGTATTAGACTTAAATCCTGTTTTATTCAATTCGTTCTGGTACTTTGAGCATTTGGGTTTACTTTATCTTTGATAGGCTGCCAGCCTTGTCGAAGTCATAATATTAATAAATAAAAATTTAAACTGTTATAATTTATTTTTACTTTTAAATTGTAATATTATGTTCAAAATACTAATAGTTATAAACGAGAATTACAAATGAATTTACAGTTTCAGAGAATCCTAAAGAAGTTTCATCGCAACAGCGAGGATTTAATCCTGTTCAACATGTGGAAGATTTGTTCAATTATATTGGTCTTGGAACTGGACGAAATGTTGATCCATATTTGGCAAAAGTTAATGAACGTTGTTTAACTGGCGATTTGGCTGAATGTTTCAAATCACGTGCATTAAATTATTTTGTCGACTTTTTTGATCATCCCGAGTATTCTTTAAATGATAATGTCCAAGTTAAGCGAATGCCTGATCAAGTAGTAGCAGAAGTATATCGTCAACCGTACGAATATTCTAACGAACCTAGGTATGTCATTATCTTTATAGGTACGACAGTATATATGTATAAGTATATTTCTTTCTGTAACGATGCTTACGTGCAATTACGAAATGCGCGCATTATTTTCTTAAATGTTTTGATAATCGGGAAATATGTTGTTTGAATTATTAAGAAACTATAATAAGTGCTTCTAAATTCAAAATATGTTGAATAGATCCGGCGAAACTGAATGGGATCAAATGGTTAATTTCATGAAGAGGAAGATGGAAAGGTTTGTTAAGACAATGTCTTTCGAATTGACTATTCCAAACGAGGAAACTAGTCTTGATGAAGCTTATAAGCCGAGATTTTTGAATGAAATTGCTGACGAGATTGATACAATTGAGAACAAGAAGGATACCCTATTTTGTAAGTACTTATTTAACATTTTTACGTAAAAGAAAATTTTCTTAACAATAGAAGATGTTGAAAAGATTTAAGAGCGTGATATGTTTATGCAGAGGACGCTCGCAAATCCTTCGTCACATGTTTAGTCAATTTAAATTACTGATTAGTAAATCCATATAAAAGAACATTGTTAGTTTGTTATTTTTATTTCATTTTCATCCATCTTTAAATCTCAATTTATAACACGTTTATGTATAATATAAGAATAGAATGTTACTTTAATTAATCAATCGTAATTAATTAATTTTATAACCTATTGTAAAAGTTAGGCCCCTTTTCGTCAGATAAAGAGAAAGAGGCATTTAAGTTACTTAAATTATTTAAGTTTATTATATGCAAATTTTAGCATATGTTAAAATAAACTTTAAATCTGTTTTAGCTCGTAATCGACTCAAAAAAGTTCTTATACCAATCTTGCTTGTTCTGAAGCTCTTCAAACTGAAGCTATTATTATTGTTGCCTTTGATTTTGGGATTGGCATCATTCAAGAAGTTCCTTGGATTTTTAGCGATCATCATACCTGGTGTAATAGGTTTCCTTAAGCTTTACAAACCGTATCCACAGTATTATCCAGTGTACACTAAAAATGGAGTTGCTCAACCTCAACCTTATTACGAATCACATTCAAATTTTGACTATCACGGTAATAATTATGGAAATGTAGATTCCTATGGTCACGACTTGGCATATCACGGATATCAGCATTATAAATCTAATAATAACTAATCTAACAATTTATTTATTATGTTATTTCTAAAAAAAACAGCTTATAATCAAATAACTAAATGTTCTGTTACGAGAGTTTGTGTTATATACATATGAGATGTTTATTCGATTATGTCTAAAAAAATTATGTTTAAATTAAATTATTATAAATCGTTGTTATTCACTAAATTGTATATGTATCCGAATGTGCCGTAATATACATATAATTGTGTATATACAGGGTGTCCTGAAATTCGCGAATCAAAATACCATAGCAAGAATGTCGTCGAAAAAATAAATTAAAAAGTTATTTGCCATTTTTCGTTCCGAACAGTAGTTTTTTTTAGATAAAAAGGTTCAAAACAGGCCAATCATACATTACGGTTGAACGGAAACCTGTCCGTGAGTCGCGAAATAGTTTAGTGCTATAAACTATCGACGCGCGACTCACGGACAGGTTTCCGTTCAACCGTAATGTATGATTGGCCTGTTTTGAACCTTTTTGGATATCTTTAAGATTTGGATATCTTTTTATCTAAAAAAAACTACTGCTCGGAACGAAAAATGGCAAATAACTTTTTAATTTCTTTTTTCGACGACATTCTTGCTATGGTATTTTGATTCGCGAATTTCAGGACACCCTGTATAATTAAAGCATGAGTGTGCAAGTTCATACATTTTCTTTTTTAACGAAAATATGAGATATAAATTTACTATTTCACTTCTGCTACATCAATTTTTATATCAAACTATATGACAATCTGCTTTGATTAATTTGTATTAATTATGTATATAGTTAAGGTTTTGAATCAAATTAAAAAATGTATAAATATATTGTACATATAATTAAAACGTGAAATGAAATATAGACTTGCCCTTTTAATTTCTCTAACATTAGTTGTTACAAGTAAGAAGAATAAATATATAATAAAGGCTTATTGTCGCCAGTACGTAATTAACCAGTGTAGAAAAATTGTTAAACGACGCAACTGGCAATTCTAAGTAGAGAAAATTTATTGCCTCAGCAAAAATATTACCTCAGTCAGAGTTTGAACCTGGACCTCCCTGGACACTCCAGGCAAGCGTCTCACCAATTCGACCACTAAGGCATGTCTGTTGTGAGTACATGTAAATTTTCTCTAATTAGAATTGCCAGTTGCGCCGTTCAATAATTTTTCTACGTTGATTAATTGTTATATTTATTATATCGCGACCTGTTTTTTATTAATTTATTTTAATTATATGTAGTATTATGTATAGTTTAGTTTCTGTGTCAATATTTAAAATATATGTTCAAAAATATTCTATTTATATGTTTATTGTCGGAAATACTTGAATCTTTCTATACACGTACATGCATAATAGCATACAAGTAGCTTTCTTATTGTCTTAGTTTCTACCTATTATTCTTGCGCTACTTTTGTGATATACGCTCTCAATTTCGAGAATCGATGCAGTGTGCTCGCGTGATATGATTAATTTGTTCACAAAGATTATAAAGAATTATCGTAACTGGGTTAATAATTATGTTATAAAACTAAGCAAAAGAGAACGCGCTTAATTGTTTCCTAATTTGCTATTAAAATGAAAACGACGTTTCTTTATTACAAGCTTTCTATAAAATTTCCTCTAGGTGAAAACTAACCCAAGAATCTGTCATTAAAAGGATAATGTAAGATTTCAGCAGTCTGAGCATTATAGCACTAAATAGTAGGTACGTGTGTCCCTCGATTTACGTCGAGTGTTCATTCCATGTGGATTTTTTATGCGGTTGAAAATCGCGTAAATAGAGCCTGTCAGTATACAAAAATACGTAAGAGAAAAGCCCGTAGAAATAGTTCTTTCATGTATTTGTGCATATTTGTGCAAAAGCAGTAATAATGAAAGTAGAGAAGTAACCTTGTTATCACTTGTGCGAATAGATTTCAGGCAAGTCAATTAAAAAAGGTTATAACGATGTAATAAGCAATCAAGTAAGAACTTTTCTTCTTCTTCACTGATGTATAATAATTACAATAAACACACTATAGAAAGATATTTTCTGACCGCTTAAAATGAGATCGTGTAAAATCGAAACTTTGTATTAAAAGTGTTGCGTAAATGAAGAGATTGTTTACCGCATAAATCAAGGAATATGTATATATAATTATACATATTAATGTATAAATTAATGCACTTAAAATTAAATAAAAAGTATTTTATTTACATTCTGTTTCTTTGGAATTTAATTTATTCAAAATTCAAGTAAATATTAAACAACTTTAAAAATTGTATCTTAATATTTGTGTTAAAGAAAAATTAGCTGCAAATCTGTTAAAATTCTGATTAAAATTGCAATTATGAATATATTAAATATTTGGTGCAATTATGTTTTAATATTTAGTTTCCTGATACCAAAAACTTTGAAAAATCAAAGAAGCATGGTTTTATTGAAAAGTAAATCTCTATCTCTCTCTCTCTCTCTTGTCTCTGGAGAAAGATTCACACTTATAATCATCAGTTTATGACACTCTTGCGTGAGTCGATTTCACATGTATCATCAATAGGTTGATTATTTAAGTGTTAACACATGTCATACTTGTTTTCATGACTGTTTAAATTAGATTTAATCCGTCTAGATTTACGATAATAACACAAACGCATAAGCTTATGAGTAAAATAATTTGTATGCCCAAAAAATGTATAATTAAGATGATTTTTTTCTCAAATTTTATAAATACTTGTGTACAAAAGAAATAAAAACTTACAGAAATATATTGCTTGTAAATGTAATATTTTGTGCAAAAGGTATAAGCAGATAAAAGTAGTATACTACTGTAAGTTTTATATCATAATTGAAAAAGATTAAAACTATTACCGTCGTAATGAAAGATTATAGAAATTGTGAAGTTATATTAAATCACTATTTTAACAGTAATAAAGATTTTTCAACTTAAGGATTTCATTGATATGCGCTTGACGCGAATAATATTAATGTATATTTACATATGAAATTAAAATAGAGAATCAAAATTTATGATTCTTTGATTTAACTAAAAGGTATATATTATTACCTATAAAAATACCGGTCACACGTCTGATCGCGTCTGAATCACTAGACAGCCAACGACTGTCGAAATGTCTCTTTAATTGCGTGAAAATGCTGTGTGCGATATTACACCGGTTCTCTCTCAGGTGCACAACGAGGAACTATCTTGTACGCGAACCGGTCCGATACGATTCTCACTCGCGATCCAGAGAATCGGATAGAACGGACCTGCTGACCAAGTGGCCCCGTTTGCCGAGAAGACCGGAAACAGCCGATCATCCTGCGATATATGGAAAGCAATTTGATAGAAATACACATCAGTTTTAACCCTTCAGAATTACATAACGTTAAATAATTCTTTTTACTTCCTCTTCAATTACAGACAATTAAGGAGGAAATGAAAATATATATACCGCAACTACGAGCAATAATGATAGTACAAGTTAAAATGGTAATGAAAATCTTGTGATATGTTAAGTTTCCTCTTTTGTTTTAAATAATAAAATATCGACGTAATTAATAGTGTAATTAAGTTACCTTAAAATATTCACAAATCTCAGACTTATTAACTGATTTGTTGATAAAAAAGAAGTTAACGAAAAATAAAAAGAATACCTAATTAAATGATACCTTGATACTATATGAGAAATTTTTGAATACAATGTATACTTCGAGGCGATAATTTGTATCCGACAGGAAGGATAATTAATCTTCCCGTGTTCGACGATCATGTGAGTGAAAGAAGACTATGAATAAAGAACATGCTCGACGTTACAATGTGATTATTTAATCGTCATGCAAAGCACATGCGGTACGTGCGAACTAGTGCGTTTATAATAACATAAATTTTCCCAGATACGCAAGCGTATTTAAGTCAAATTATTAAGAATACTTAGGACACTCACGCGTCTTGTAAGCGCGGTGCAGCGAAAGCGATGCCCGCGTATAAAATGGGCCATCTGACTTTTCGGCTTTCGGATATTTTCTATTAAATTGCCGGAAGTTTCCACGCGAGGAATGCACTGGAAAACTTTCCGTCGTATACTTTCTACATTTCCATAGCCGATTTCCTACAAAGCACTAACTCGTTTTAACTATAAGTAATAACGTACGGCTGTACAGTTACGCGTACTAAATAATAATTGTATCATTGTACCGGTAGATCTGATCGCGTTAATGTTGTGCCGCTTTAGTCCTGTCGTCCTATCTGTTTTCATCATCGTACAACGGTTTCGAGTTATCTCACATTAAGAGTGTAAGACCTTGACCGCTGATGTGCTTATAAGATCTATGCATACGCAAATTAAGGAGAAGACAATTACGCAAGATTCCATATTTTATCGAGTCACCCTCTTGCGATACCCTTTTGCAATTAATTACTTATTTATTATTTTATAAAACTCGTACATATCATACACTAAAAGAAATGTTTGCTAGGGTGGAGCATTCAAAAAATTTTTTAATTTTACAACGCCCGTAGGTGGAAGCGATGCGAATTTGATTAAAAATAAAAATTTGAAAAGTTTTCACTCGATCGGAGCTCATCTTCTGCCTCCAACTTCAGTTTGAAAATTTGATTATAGGAGTAAAATCATAAAAATTAAAAAAGACGCAATTAAAAATTTCAAGAAATTTTTAATTCTATTTTCATCAACAGTTTAAAGTGTTATATTCTAGTATATTAAAAAATTAAACCAATTGAAATATACTATATAGAATATAACACTTTAAACTGTTGATAAAAATAGAATTAAAAATTTTTTGAAATTTTTAATTGCGTCTTTTTTAATTGTTATGATTTT